ACACATCTTTGCGTGCTATATTTTATAGAAACAATTTGAAATAAACATCCATATGCACATATACATACACGTATGTATATATCATATTCAACATTTCATCAGTCCTTCTTCTATATTACTTATATTTTAATGTATGTATGTATGTATGCATGTATTTTGGTATGAACATATAATAAATAAAATAAGTTCTTGTCCTACTTTGATTCAACTTGTGGGATAAAAAGATATTTATGGCCAAGCAGGCACAAAGTCAAAATATCATTTTTTTTTACTTGTAATACTCACAAGCGCTCTTGCTTTTCTGCGCTCTAACGGTGATTTTTATATTATTAAATTTATTATATTAGTTTAATTTTCTTAAGAGCGTTTTTTAAATTCTTGCCCACTTTTTCTCGAAATAGTATGGAGATGAGATGTGATTATACCTCGAAGCAGGACTGCCAAGCTTACTTGTTTTATTCTCTTCATTTTTCGCCAAGGCGCTTTTTTGCTCGCTTTTCAACTTTTTTTTATATTCAATTGTGGCCAAATTAATAGAAGCGCGGGAAAGCAATTGAAATTGCATAAAATAGAAATAAAAACAAGAAAGAATTGACCTCTTCTTTATTCCTTTTATTAGGATTAAATATTAAAGTTTATATCTGGACAAGTCGGTTATGTGGTGGCTATGTGATATAGTTCTCCGATTTCGAGGATTTTCCTTGTCAATGTTTATTTGTATATATGTGTGTGAAAAATACCAAATCTCAAGCTTTCAAATGCTTTTTGTGGCCTAGCGTTGTCATGATGGAAAAAAACTCCTTTGCGATTGGCCAAAATCGGACGTTTTTCATCTATTGCTTTCTTCAATTCGACCAATTGCTGACAATACTTGTTGGCCGTGATCGTTTCTCCAGCTGGCAAGAGCTCAAAATAGATCACGCCTCGGAAATCCCACCAAATGCACAGCAGTACCTTCATCGGATGCAATCCACCTTTCGACATCGGTTCCGCCCCTTCGTGTGCCTGTTTCCATGTTCTTTTGCGTTGAACATTGTTGTACAGGATCCATTTTTCATCACCAGTCACGAGCCGATCCAAAAAAGGTTCGTTTTTGATCCGTCGAAGCAAAGAAATTGCTGTTGACATACGGTCCACTTTGTTTTTTTCACTCAACTGATGTGGCACCCATGTATCGAGCTTCAAAGTGTACCCAACCTTTTTTAAACGACGAAACGCAGTTGATTTGTTGACGTTCAATTCACTGGCAACCTCTTCCGTCGAAATACGTGAGTTATTCGCAACTAAAGTCCTTAGAACATCGTCATCAAGCTCAGAAGGCCGTCCATTGAGAGGTTGATCTTCGAGATTAAAATCTCCAGAACGAAATTTCTTTACTGTGCGGAGTGCTGGAGCACGGTCCAAATAAACTTCACGAATATCTTTAGTTGCAGCGCCTACTGTTTTTCCTTTGCGGAATTCGTATAACATAATATGACGCATATGATCTTTTTCGTTATCCATCTTCCATGCGTCTTTTCACTAAGCAACTGAAATCAAAATGAAGTCATTTTATGCTTGATTAACAGTTTGGACTGTCACCTTTCCAACGATATAAATATAATATGTATATATTTCTTTCACGAGCGCCACTCTCAAACAATTCGAACGGCATCCAGAGGAATCGGGCACGAACTTATGCACTCATCCAATACTACCATGCGGAAAGTCATTGGTTCGATTTTCGGCCCAGAGAACATCGAAAATAATATAAATTAATTTTAATAAAAAAAAAAATTAAGTAAATTGTTCTAATTGCCGTCGTCTGTCTCTCCAAGTGAATTCCTTACATGTTATAAAAGTTCTTCATAAAAAGCCCGTTATCCGTTCGGAGGCGACTTGGAAAAAACATCAAGGCTGACACCACAAATTTCTAGGTAGAGCTCGGACCAAACTCATCCGAAACGGTTTGACCGATTCTTATAAAATTTTATAATATATATAAATTCAGTAGATCTGAGAAAAGGGCGAAAACTATTTTTTATACCGGAAAGTGATCTATTCATAAGAACCATGTACAAAGATAGCTTTTTCCTTAGATTAGCAAGAATACTAGTCTTATCTCTGTGTGAACTACGTCCCAGTTGAAAAAAAAAAATTGTATTTATAGTTATTTTTAATTGAAATTTTCTTTTTCCGGGTAGTTGCCCGATCTATTTAAAAAATTTCTAAGAGATGCGGCTGGCTTTTTCGTAACCTAAGATAGTTAGAGATGATGACAAATCATCTCGTTACTGATAATACTAATTGCGGGACTCATTATTAGTGTAAATAACAAATTTTTTTTTTAATTGGTCCATTGACATTTCATTCTTGGAACGGCAAATAGAGTTTCTCGCAATTTGGAGCAGCGCACTGTGATTAAATTCTTTGTAAAAAAAGGAATTTTTAAAGAGCTGTGAATGGTTCCTCAGAACTCTGTCACCTTCACATACCATGATGAAAAAATGGGCTCGGCTGTTTCAACAAGGAAGAGAGAACTGTGCAGATGACACCCGCACGGCGCGTCCAGCGAGGGTAGCGTTCAGAAAGTTGAAAATTGGCACTGGCTGATCGAAGAACTAAATTATGGCAGATAGCAGAGGGATTGCAGATGGTTGCCAGTGCCTTTTTCTCTTTTTTAATTTAAACAAGGAGTTACGTGGACGAAGATTTTCAGACGACAGCGAGATGAAAGCGGCCGCAGAAAACCATTTTGAAGTGAATAAGCATATGTATATCTAAGACGTGCGTTACTACAAGACATTCATTGACATTCATATTGACATTTAGGTGAGAGACTTTGAGCAACGATGTATAAGCAGTTAGATCCATAACATAATAAAAAATCGTATGTGTATATGTGTATGTATCTAATCTAATCACTTAATGAGCTCTTTAAAAAATCTGAATTACATGAATGAAAGTAAGATAAAGTTCTCAACGATTCATTTATATTTAGATTTATAGACGAAAATTGTTGATGAGACATACTTACATAGATAAGACAACATTTTTATAAATACAAGACGATTACATATTCATATGTGTACGTATATTGCTTGTGATATGGAAAGAACAGTCTAAAGCTATTAAAAAAAAATCTAAAGGCTATTGGAAAAATGTTAGTAATAATGAGTCGCTCGTTGTTGTTTGTTTTATTTTCTATTTCTATAAACATTATATATATATATATATATATATATATACATATATAAATTTCGAATACAAGTTACGTATTCTAGAGGCCAATAGTGTTGAAAATTATAGAAAACTTAATTTTAAAATTAGTTTTACTTCAAAAAAAAAAAACAAAAAAAAAAGATCAATGAATGAATGCGACGGTGTTTATGCTCTCTTCGGCACGTACGTGTATATTCCATTTTTTTTTTTTGCGCAACGGCAGGAAATGTTCTCACATGCCTACGGGTTAATAGAAAGTTTAGTAGGATATCTAAAATATTTTGCTATTTTTCAAGCTAACACCATGTGCTGACTTGTCAAATCAAGAAAAAAAAGAAACAAATACCGATATTCATCATTAGATAAAGGGGCCTGGCAGAAAGTGACTTGCGTCAACTAAAGCGCGTAGATCACTTGAAAAATGCTATATGTATACATATTTGTTTCATGCATGTAGAAGCATATGCACATACATACATACATATGTATATCCACTTGTACTTAGACACTGTATTTTTCGTAAAAATAACCTGCACTCAACCAACTCCCACATTACCGACGTCAGGAAACCACGAGACGAATCCACGAAAATTTTAACTTAAGCGTTTTTAGCGTCGACGCAATCAGTTTATGGCATTTAGTTGCGCGTAAAATAATTTTGAAATTTTTCTTGGTATGCATGTATGTGTGAAATGTTTTTGCGAATTTTAGTATGTATGTAAGTATGTACGTGAATGTATATGGACATGTGCTTTTGGCATAAAGCGCATGGTTGATGTTGAGGAGCAATCGGTCTGCGGTCTGATTTTTTTAGTACAAAAACAAAGACTATAAAATTTATTAGCACGTCTACAGCAAAATAAATTTAAATAAATAAATTAAAAAAATAAATAAAAAAAAATAAATAAAAAAGCGATAATACACATTATAAAATATAAACAAAGGATTCTTGTGTGATAAAAAAATGGCGAATTTGCCAAATAAAATTAAAAAAAAGAAACGAAAATAGAAGAAAAAAACCATATACACAAATTCGCATGCACATTAAAAAAAAGAGATAGCAAAATAAGTAAATCTAAACTTAAGGATAAAAATAAAAAAATAAAAATAAAAAAATAAAAAAAATTAAAATAAAAAAAAAATTATACAAAAAAGCAACTGAAAAGAAAATTGTAGGCAATCATAAGAGAGATTATAGAAATATTCGCCAAGCGATTGCAAAATGTGGTGTGTAGCAGAACGATCAGAGACTTTCGCAATAAAAAATAGTTAGTTGTTTTTCAGTTAGTTTCTCTACGCTGCTGAAATAGTGCAAGTGTGTTGTACTCGTTTCAATTTTTTTTCCTTGAAAATTTACAATTTTGCAGCCACCAATAATTTCTATCATTTTTAGATGAAAAAATTTTTTTTTAATTTTTTTTTATTGTTCTTAATAAAAAAAAATTATTTTCATATTATTTTTTTATTTTCTTTATTAATTAATAAATTTTCTATTAATTAATAAATTAATAATTTAGAAAAAAAGCTTTTTATATTATTAATAAATACCATTTTTCCCTTTATTAATACCAAATTTAATTAGAATCTATATAAAATATTAAAATTTTATACTTTTCCCTTATGAATTTTGATTTTTTTCTTTCTTGTGCTTATAGACCAAATTTCATACAAAAAAAAAATAATAAAAACAAAATACAAAAACGAGCACGCACACACGCACATTGAAAACACACACACACTTACATATGTATGTCAGGAGGCACACGTAAGGTGCGATGATGCACCCAAAAAGAACTCACCTTCGCTGCCATTGGGTTTGGAGGCAGCATCGGCTAAGCAGCGTGGACAGGATGCGGTCAAGTCAATAAGACTGTGTTCCGGTGCAGCGAATGGTAGATTTTTGTATTTGAATGTGCTTGGCGTTGGTGGGGCTATCAAATGTAGTACATACATACATACATAATATATAATATAAAATAGATGCTACATAACTAACTAACACTAATGTTGAATATACAGTTGTACCTGTATGTATCTACATATGTAAAAAAAAACCCAATACATACTCTACATAATATATTAATTTTCTTTTTACGTATGAGTATGTACATATATATATTTTGAAAATGCATTCATGGCATATTGAAGAATCTAATTACATTACATATTATTTATATGCATACATACGAGTATGTATGTATGTACATAGATAAAGTCTAGCGCTTAGGCCAAAATCAAAATGAGAAAAATGCTACTCACGACAAATTGATGGCGAAGACTAAAGAAAATTTGCCAAAAAATTTATCTATTAAGGTTTCAAATATTCAAATGCACTGTACATACATATATACATATGCAGAAAGATGTTAAAAAAAGATATATAAATAGTATGTACGTATAACTAGAAAATAAGTTTACAAATTATATATTAAAATATGAAAAAAAAAAACAAAAAAATTTCATATTTTTTAAATTTTTTAATAAAAAGTGAAGCGCACAAGTTTCATTTGCCTTTACAAACATAAATATGTACACTTAAAAAATATTTTTTTCTTTTTTAATTTAACAATCCATGTAATTATTTGAAAAAAAAGAAACAATGAAAAATTAAAAACCACAGCAATAACGGTGAAAAATATTCACTGTGGTTTAATTAAACAGTGCGGGTGGACGGTTGTACATACACACATACCATGTGTGCATTACCAAACGCACACGCGTTCAATCCCCTTTCAATTAATAATCGACAAACCGACGCTCATTTAAATGCGACAACGTTCAATATTATTGACGATAAAATCAATCAATTTTATTGATATGATAAAAAATGCCTGGCAATGCCAATTGTACTCGAGACAAAAATTGAAATTTTTTTACAGCGCAACCATTGTTATATGTACATATGTATGGGGTAATTTCTTTTAAAGCTCAGTAGGTTTGAGTTAAAAAAAAAAGTATGTAAAGAGATAGGCGCAAATTTAATGCTGGTTGAGTAAGACAAATCTGTTTGGCGGCCTTGAATTAAAAAAATAAAACTTTTAAATGCGTAGTAAATTTGTTCAAAACCTAAGAGCCGGGTTACACTCATTTCATTTCATTAGAACTTAAATGTAAAAAAAAATATATAAAAACTATTACTTTTAGATTTTTATATTAAGGGGGTGTTTTTTAACTTAAAATAAAAAATATAGTTAAGAAAGCATTAAATTTTTTTTTTTATTTTTTTTAAATTATATAATAAAAATTATTTTCAAAATTTTTAAAAATTTTAATTTTTCCAAAAATTAAATATATTTTTAAAATAGATATTAAAGGGCTACATTAGTTTATTCAAGGGAAAAAGGTATATTTTCCAAAAATTTTATATAAAAAGTAAAATATTTGATTCAAAATGACTTAGTACATTTTAAAAACAGTTTTTGTTATTAATTGTTAAATAAGAAAAAATTAAAAACAAATAAAAAAATTATATAAAAAAACTTTAAGAAATATATACTAAAAAGTTAATTTTTTCCATAAAATTATTTTATTATTTTAATCAAAATATCTAAATACAATAACTGATTTTTTTTTTAATTTTTTTATTTATTTAAAAAGATTTTACAAATTATAGTTAAAAAGATTAAAAAATATACTTTTCTAAAAATCAATGTTATAAAGGCGAAAAATTGTTTAAAAATCAATATTAAAGGGTTCTTCCACGTGCTTATGTTGGGAAAAAGGTTTCTTTTTAACAATTTGTTTTTTATATAAAAAATAATTTTTTTTTTTTCAAATACCAAAATATAATATCTCATTGTTTTTTTTAAATTTATTTTAAAAATATTTATAAAAAATATTTTTCAAAAAATAGATTTTTTTCAGCAAACAAAAAAATTTTAAAAATTTATATTAAAGGTCCATTTTTGAAAACACATTATTCAAAATACTTACTGCCTTAGAGATGAAAAAGAATTTTAAAAATTTTTCAAATAAAATTTACATAGCTTGAGTCAGTGGAACTCTGATAGAATTATCTGAAGTGAAAAAAATCGTGTCGAAGGAGAAGGAAAAAAAATATTGAATTTTTGGCAGATTTTTTTTTTTTTACAATAAATATTTTAATCTATATTTTTTTTAGTTTTTTTAGATAGTTATAATTGGAAAATAGAACCTTCCTACAATTCAAGGCGAAGTAGCAAGAATACAAAAACATATTTTCCCATATATTTTGTTCGGGAAATCATGGTTTCGAAAACTCAAAGACAAAAAACCTTCAATGTATTTTGTTTGTGTAAACGAACGTTCGAAATGTCAAAACCAATTTCTCATGTATTTTGTTTATGTAATTTGTTGAAATGGGAGGAAGAACAAGCAATCATATCTTGAACTGTATATCGATGATCTAGTTGATCTGTAGATTTCAAGAACTTTTGACAATCGACTTTGAAAAGAAAGTTAAAAAAAAAAATGATTTTAAAGTTCAAGGCGATGCGCCTACCTGACCTTGAGCGTACATCACCTTCTCAAGGCTGTATGTCTAAAATTGTTTAATGGACAATATTAAATTTTCTGGTATAATATGTCTACATATACATACATATATATGTATATATATCATTTTGAAATCATTTACATAGCTACTTTTGTTTTTTTTTTCGAAAACGAAATGTCAGATAATCTTTCGAAATAGTAATCATACTCATTATCCTCATTATCAGTAAATTAAATAGGACATCTTATGAATTTTTATAATTTGCATTTTCCCACAAAAAAACAACCTTGACCTTAACATTAAGAAACGACCTTCTCGAATTTGTAGGAAATTAGCAAAACTTCTTGAACGAGCATTTAATATTTTTTCTTAACTCAAAAGGTCACGCGACATTTTATTTGGCAAATATATTTGCATATGCATGCGCATATGTATGTACATATTTGAACCGCCAGGTAGTAATTCAATTTGGAGACTATCTCGAGTGAATTATGGCTTTGGTGTCATCAAGCAATCAACTGAATGCGCGACGATCAGCGAAATTAATACACAGGAGGCATGTGAGGCCTATGAGGGAGAGATGGGATATCCTTATAGTATAAAAGATGTTGTTCAAATTGAAGTGAGCTGAATTAAGAGGTAAACAACTTGTATGATAATTCCCGAAATTAGCTTATGGCACGAGCTGACAAAGATTATATGAGCATTATTGTCTCATTGCGCTGTTGTTATTGTTGTATAAACAAACAAACGAGAAAAAAAGGAAAAGTACAATTAAATCTAATTAGGCATAAACATGCAATGACATTATTGGTTGAATAATAAACATTTTTGAAAGCGATCAGAACAAAGTGACGGGTAAGAGGCAAAAGAAAAAATGAGGTTAAGAGAGAAGATGTAGAGAGGGTGGTAGGCATGGTGGTAGAACCATGTATATTTGTAAGTATGTGTGTACGTTTATGACTAATGGATTTTTTTTTGGATTAGTACCTACAATGTGGTCAATAATATTAGCCGCTGAGAAGTGGAAGGCAGCAGTAGTTATGTGAGACCAAAAAATAAATAAAAAATACAAACAACCAAAAGCTCAATAACATAAACGTGAACACGAAAGAAATGTGACGCCTGGCAACGTGAATTTTCGAGAAAGAATGTCCTATAGCAGGCGCTTTGGCACAATTTCAGTTATAAACAAATAGTACAGAGAAGAAAGAGAAGAAAAAAAAAACGTGCCAAAAAGAAGATAACAAAAGCTTATTATTTTCTTTAACTGCGAAGGAAAATAAACACCAGCACATACATACATACACGTATTGTACATATGTAGAAGTATATGAATATACTGACAAGTGCATAGTAGGTACGAGTCTGTGTAATGTCAACGCGACAACTGACAAATGTCCAACTGACGACGATGGGACTTTGACTTTGCGCCAACCGAGTTGATAAACCAAAGTGCAAGAAAGTGCACTTAGTCAAGTGCTGCAATGCATGCAGATGGATGCACCTACGCAAGAACGTTTTTAAGGGTATAAACCACATGTATACGTATTACACATACATATATGTATGTGTGAAAAAAAATTAAATATATACATACATATTTGTTTTTGTATTTAACAATGCCGTTATAGCATCTTTAGTGCAACTATTTAAAAGTTGAGGCAACAATGCCGGCTGATTTGCAGAGAGTAGAATGAAAAAAAGCACAGCCAAATATTTTGGCAACACTTTCGACAAACGGGAAATCGCGTACATGACCTTTGGGAAGGTAAAGCGTACAAAAAAAAAAAAAAAATATTTGAACGAAATACTATACTGTCAAGATTTTCATGGTTTGAATCAATATTTTATTTCGTTAGTAATAGAACGAGCACTTGAAAAATAAAGAATATAACGGTTATAGTATTTGAACGTTTTCAATAAAAAAAAATTGAAACCATTAAAAATTACAGTACAATTGGAATTACCTGATGACCTAAACCCGTTTAGGTCGCCGAAAGAGTGACAGCCCATTGCCGCATTCAACTCCGGTAACTAGAACCGGCTGAAAAATCATCTTCACTGGTGATTCACCAGTTATATATATATAAATATATTTATATATATATATTATGTAATTAGCGCTTCGAACCGCTGAAGCGATTTTTCGGCCGAGCTCCTCCTCCAATTTGTGGTTTTGCTTGTTGATGTTTTTCCAACAAATAAAAGGACCTACAGCTTATACTAAGCCGCCTCCGAAAGGCTGATGGTTTTTTTTACGAAGAACCTTTTTTCAAGTCCCAAATACACTCGGAGGGGTAAACATTCTCTGCCGAGGGGCGGTCGCAATTAGAAAATTTTTATTTAAATTAATTTTCCACAACTTTTAGATGTTCGTGGCACCGGGATATGGGCCCGACCCCTCGGCTACGGCGGCCGCCACCGCTTCACCAGTTATTGAATAGTTATTTGAACGAAAAGAATAACAAACTTCTATAATTAAAACCCACTTCCACCTCGAAATAACAAGATTTATTGTTAAAAAGCCTCTCCATCGGCAACGTGCAATGGTTCGGTCGGCGGTTTATGGTTCGGAGCTTACGAAAATGAATGGATTGTGCTATCGAGAGGCGATTAAAGATTTTTTATGGCCGGAATTATCATCCAATTCTGGATCTGGATAACGTTTGCATTCAACAAGACAGCGCTAATTCTCACACAAGCAACGAAATCCATCTAACTTTCAAAGGAAAAGTTTTTTGGAATATCAAAATAATACATGTTATTGGGAAATCATGTATTAAATCTAAATTTCGATTACAAAAAATTATTTTTTAATAATTAAAGATTTAGTGAAAAAATTATTTAATTAAAAACATACCGTCAATGAGCCGTTCAATGACGACCTTTTATTTGCAGAATTAATTTTTATTTACCGATACCATACATGAGCGCTTCACTTTATATGTACATATTATATATTGTTATTGAGTCTGCATTATGTACTCGTACATTCAAAATTTTAAATTTTCGAAAAACTCATGTTTTTTGCATTTTCATTGCTTGCAATTATTTCTTTTATTACTGCACAAATAGTAATTTTTATATATAAGTTAAAGTAAATAAATAAATTTTAATATATTTTACATAACATAAATTGTATGTATAAGTAAATGCATTACCTTCTTTATCTGTGAGATCCGAGAATTTAACGCCACCACTAGATTTTCGTTACACAAAAAAAGAAGAGATTAAGAATTAAATCAGTCAACATTAAAATAAACTGAGCACGAGATAAACACTGTGTATGTACGAATATTCAAAAAAAAAAAACATCGGAAAATGCGCGACTGTGATAATTGATTTTTTTTCGTTCATTTAAGTTTTAACGTTAAATTAGTGCAAATTATATAAGTATGTATATTTAAAAAAAAAATAATAAATACTAAATACTATATATGATGGTATTTAATAATTATTGCATAATAATATTAATATCTCACAGAGCTTTGATACATTATGTATTTATGATTGTAAATATGTTTATGTAGCACTAAATGGTTTTTTTTTCATTTTTTGCTGGCAATAATTGACTTTAGTAAAAGTAAAGAATAATGTATTTTTATATATTATATATTAATGAATTATAATTGCTTTGTTTTCAATGTTAGTATTTCGCTTAAAGTTTGTTTACAATAACAATTTACAAATTTCTTTAAGTTTCTTTTTAATGCCAACAAATCTATTTACTATTTTCTGGTGAACTGAATTTTTATATATTATTTTTTGTTTTAATTTTATTGATTTATTTTGAATTTTCTTTATTTTTGCATTCATTTAATTTGTTTTTAGGCATTTACCTGAGGAGCACTGTAGCCGTTTCAGGCACACGGAATACCTGAAAAAATTATTAAAAGCTCATTTTGTTTGTCATGGTCGTGTAACAACTACAAAGTAGTAGCATTTAATTTGCTAAAAAAAAATTTATTGACTAACTATTTCAAAAAAAATTATATATGTATAAACATACTACTAACGGGTTGTTGAAATTAAATATGTAGTGATAAAAATGAATAAAATTTTTAACCATTTTTATTGTGCCAGAATTTGAATTTAAATATAATATGTATCGAGACGTTTACGATTTTTAAAAGGAAATTTTTCTTAATGATTTAAAAGCGGCATTTATTTTTCTATTTATTTATTTTTTTTATTTAAAATCGTTTGAAAAATTAAAAATATTTTAATTAAGTATCCATTTATTAATCCTAAATGAAAAAAAGTACTTCTCATAGATACTTTTTGCTGGTGGTGCCTAGTTAAAATTGTTATTATGAAGTTCGTGAGTATAAATTAAAATTAGATAATTATTTTCCATTATTCCCTTATTCGGCTATAATGTTATATAAAAATTACTAATTTTTTATTAACCCGTTAGCTACCCAAAATCTAACGCCTTTGCAACGATAAAATTATACACTTTAAGATGGGGAAATAATTTCGAAATATTATTACATTTCGATAGTTTTAGTAGAAATATTTAATATTACATTTAACTGGCATAAAAGTATGAAATTTTTGTATATTTTTTATTTTATTTTTTATACTTCACTTTTGAGGAAAACAAATGCATCTCAATTCATCGTTGCAAATCGTTATTTATGTGAATAAAAAATTAATCTAAACTCTATTTTTACCATATATTGTTAGAGTTGTGCATATTCATAGATGTGTGAAAAAATTCTCGGCGGAAAAATTAACTTTTAAAATAAACAGGAAATTTCAAAACTAATTGATTGTTTGCACAGAATGGAGAGAAAGATGTAAATATTTATTACCAGAAATTATATAAATTAAATTATCTATGAATATGCATATGATTTACGTGTATACCGCTATATTTCACTTCTATCAAAACAATTTAACAAAATATTGAATTTTTGCAATATTCTGGAATTCGCTCAAATAACAACTTTGGTGAGTAAAGACTCTTTTGCTATATTGAAGACTTTAATACTCATTAAGACATTGGTCTATTTACAGAAAGTAAATACATTTCAGTTGTTAAGAAGTGAGCAGATTTTTAAAAAGTAAAACAAATAAGATCTCATATTAAACATACCTTCCAGCCCAAATTTTCAAAGAAGGTGCACAAACGTGACTGTCCGGTTGTTTTACCACCACAAGGACCTGCAAAAAAATCGAAATTAAATAAAAGTATTATATTATATAAAAAAACATGTGCAGTGCTTAAATTAAATACTAGTATATTTATTTAATCAAATTATAAACAATAGCTAGTAAATTAGTAAACAAAAACATTTTGTTGTTAAAAATATGTACACACATATAATCCCCCACTATAACAATCAGAACAACCCCACCGATTGCAAACCAATAATAGGATAAACAAAAGTCTGTCGGGTGCATAGATAAGTAAACAAACTGAAAATACTTGCTTTATATGATAGCCGCTATAAATACCACCCCATAATTCTCGTTACTCAAGTTCAAATCTGCAGTGAGAAAATTTTCGAGCAAACGCAAGGTCACTTCATCCCAGTGCAACACCAACACCGTCGTTTTTCAATCGCGTTGTTATGTACGTTAAGGGAAACACATACCTATAAACTGCTGTGTTTGTACATATACAGGCCCACAGCATAGTATAAACGTAAATATAACTATGCATATGCACACTCAGCATCTCAGCTCGCTGACCTTGAGACAGTAACAACAACAACGTTTGACCATAATCACCAACATGAACCCACATACATATATGCCCAGCCCATTTGTATGCTTGCCCCTTGGCAGTTATCAAAACGGACGGGCCCACTGGAGCATAAAACTCAATATAACTGTTTAAAATAAAATGCATAAAAAATACAAACATAAAAAAAACATACATATGTACATACGAACATAGGATGCCTACCTAAGGCTTTATTTATTTATAAAATGTTTGATTAAATAAAAATGCAAATAAATAAAATATTAATCAATCAATAAAAAAAAATAATAATAAATTGACTGAAAATTAACATACATCATATAAGGAAGTAGTACATGCACATATGTAGATATGTATGCTAGCATGTACTCGTATAATGTTTATTCTCAGACATACATATGTACACTTGTCTTGTATGAAACGGTCATGATTGTGACTAAGCGATTGGCTTCAAATTGAATGTGATTGAAAATGGAAATTTGCTCGAGAGCACTTACATACATATGTATGTATGTGCATATGTATCTATGTATATATGGAAACGTGCAAGTATGTTTGTTTACAACTACAGCATTGTTTGATTAGAATATACAATACTTTTCCAATTGAATGAACTGCATAACTGTCAATAGACATTTGTTGTAAAGAGTCATAACTGCTGGTCAATAACAATTGCCAAGTGTTTAACGACGCTTGACATAACCACTTACAACTGGCCAAGCAGTGTGAACCAGATTGTTTTGATATATAAACAATTAACACGATTGGTTGCACATGCACAGCAAGGATACAAAATGGCATGAGGAAATGCTGATTAATTTTACAAATACAGAAATATTAAAAAAAAAATATTTATAATAAGTCGACAAGAAAAGTACAAGTTTCGAACTTCATGGTATTGAAACCAGTGAAGATTTACAACCTAAATTATTGACCGATGTTAAGATAAGATAAATTAGAAACTAGTACCAATTATAAAATGCACTTCTGCTATATATAAAAATAAATACATACATAATTAAAGAAGTGATACATAACAAATTAAAGATTTTTAAATTTTCAAGTATTGTAGTGGTCATTTTTATAGGCAATATTTATACAATTTGCATATACAACTGCTACAGCCAGCTTAATAAACAAATAAGCATATTTTAATTTTCTGTTACTATGCTTGAACAAAAACTAAAACAACAAAAAAACAAAAAAAAACGCAATCTTTACTTTTAAACGTCACTAAAATTGCAATTAGTCAAAATATTCCATAGAACACAATATATGGACGGACATATATGTACATATATAAATATGTAGATGCATTAGAAACTAAAACGCATACAGATTATCGCATTAAGCTCAACATTTGTGTAGTGATAAGAGCTGGGCGTGTCATGTTTAAATTTCTTGAAGTAAAGTTTTTTAACACATTTTTTTTATTTAATTGAAACAATTGTTTTAATCTCGCAAATGTAATATAGTTGCATGCAATATACAACTTACATGCATACATATACATATAGGTATGTATTAGAGATAGTATAAACAATGCAAAATACGTAAGTGAATGTAAACAGAATAAAATTGTTAAGCTCTGAATCAAACAGGTATAATACAGATTGCACATTGATACATACATACATACAAATAAATCAATGAAAGTAATGTATGCGTGTATTGTAAAGATTGCCGGCCTGTCGGTATTTCACCAATTCCTTTCTTTTCTTTGTCATATTAAGTATCTATGTATATCAAGCATGTACACACCAATGGAGATCAACACGTTTATGCACAAAATCTCTAGCCGATCGTCAAAGACGATTTTTAAAATAGATTTGACGCAGAAACGAGCAACTTGCTGTGCACTGTACGTGGTAGTGGGGGCACCAATACATAACACCAAAATGACTTTTGGCAAATGTTCTGTTTAGCCTGTATGTACATACATATGTATGTATATAGGTGCAGAAGTCGACAAATTGTACAAATCTTCGAGTATGTACATCTTTATATTATCATAGCCATGAAATGTGAAAATGAATTTCTATATAATCATAACATACGTTCATACATTTACATTTATGTATGTACATACTAGATGCATATGTAACTGGCAACTTATATCTTCCTCAAATTTCTTAAAACTGGTTTTATGTGAAGAAAACTGAAACTTATAAATAAATAAGTTGTTGTTGGGATTATTGGTGCATGAACACGTGTGGAGACATGTGGTACTTGTGACATAGTTCCACCTACAACAATAGCTGCAATGTCGGTTGACATTAAAAGGAGTATTGAGAAATGAAAATTAATATCAACACATAATATAATGGTTATTGAACAAAAAATTGTTTACATATATCACAACCAATATTTCTAAAAATATTTTCTGATCCTAACCAATTCTAGGTTATTAAGACTAAAAAAAAAATTATTAGTAAGTTGCCAAAGTAGTGTACTCACCGCCTGTTAGCACCACTTTGTAAACACGCCTTTTTGAGGCGCCATTAGTTTTGGCCAACTTTAAGCCTGCTCGTGGATTTAACTTTGGTGATACTTTTTCAGGCTGCTCTGTTTTCTGTTGCTTTTGATCTTCCATTTTCTTTTCGTTATCCTGTGGCTTGGACTGTTGCTTTTGCACCTGTTTGTCATTGGTATTTTCCGTCGTCACGTCCTTGTTATCCATTTTTAACAATGTCCTCAAAATTGACTGACTGGACAACACTCACCGCACTCCGAATCAATCTTACAGCTGATTAATTCTCCACTCAAATTTTTGTAGCGTACAGATATGGATTTTTTGATTGACTTATATTATTAGTTAGCTATGCTGGTGGTCTTGATTTTTCTCTCCTTCAACGTGTATTCTGATTTCTTTGGGTCTCTGTTGCTGTCAAATGATTAGTTTTGCCTTATATTGTATATATGTAATCGAAACCGTTGACTTTGGCAAAGGTGTTGTTGTTTTCAGTACTATGTTGAACTTCAGAAATTACACATTGAACTAAGTGCAGTGGGGATTTTTCCGCTTCCGCCAAAGTGAAAAACCAAGATATTTAGTTTAACACGCGGGGTAGGTTCGCCTTCAATCAACAATGAAGCAACGACCAGATATGGGCCGAATATCAGAGTTTACGTTTATCCTGTTTATGCTTGAACATCTTCGGAAAGTTTTCACCGTATTTGCGTAACAAAAAATGTTTAATTACACATTCGCAGACACATGGAAAAGCCGAAAAATTATTTCACGGATAAACACGAAACACAAATTCACTGGAGCCAAATCACTAAAATGACTGAGAGAACATGGCCGTAAAGCTCCCCTTTTTATGTAATTCTATACAAAGATGCCAGATGTTAACAATAGCGCCATCATTAGGGCATTCAAAATTTAATAAGACAACAATCGGAAGTGTTTCAAAAGAGAGCTCTGTAAGCAAGTGGAAGATTTATAAATAATTTGTTAATTTTTTTAGATTCATATGCTTAAATTTGTATAAGAATTGATCTAAAATTGATCAGGATGATTTGTAAATTCATACACCAGTTTGGGGTCGTAATATGGCAAGCCCAGTGAAATAGAACACATTCTTGCCAGATCAGAAGCAAGAATTATACTCAACTTTGGATTTGTGCACTTATCTTGTTGGCAACTGAAGGAAATTAATAAAAACACTACCCCCTGCGGGTTAGAGGCTCAAGAATTTACCCGCGGTAAGGCATGCCTGTCGTAAGAGGCGACTAAAATCCAATAGTTCTCGCGACAGTCGGGTCTTTATACCGGAACGACCCGGATTTTTATCCGGCCAAGGACTGTCACTCCCGCAATTTATTTGGGGAATAATTTTGCGGTTACAACAACAACAACAACAACACTAAAAATCAATTAGAATTGCTTTATTTACGAAAATAAAAAAGATGATTTGCTTCGGATTCTCCATTCACATCATTTACCCCGAATATATCAAAAGACATTTTACGGTTCTGTTTCGCCATACCTTGTGTTTCATTACTAGAAAGTTGCAATTGGAATTCGCTTAGGTTGCAACTCTGCTACTGCATTTAAAACAAATCCATTTGACTTAACGAATTTAGAGGCGTATGACGTGTAATTTCTGTTATTGTGCTTATAAAACATTATCTGTGGTAAATTGTGTTCATATAGAATCTGAAACTAAAGTATTTGTAATTTGAAAACCAGCGCTGATCACTGATACCAAAAATGGGATATTAATACAATCTTAAATTGCAAATTAGAATAAACTGCGTTATCTAAATGTATACAAGCATTGTTTTCATTTGACAGCTGTTGCGAATGATTGTATGCAAAGGAGTGGACGCTAATCGTCAGCTGATTGGGAAAGTAACAGTGTTTTTGTAGCTTGCATAAAACCCAAAAATATTAGGCACCTCGTAAATGTGCAGAAATTATCACAAAATTAGGAACAATTAAATACCTATCAAGGTCAATACAGAGAGTAGTGAATTCTAAACGTTGGGAATGTGCGAAAAATAAAGAGTGTGTTTTGTGACCTCGACAAAGTTCTTTTTTTTTATTAATATAGCAACATTGTTTGGATCTTCATCACCAGCTGTGCGCGGTAACAATCTGAAAACCATTCATAAAAATTCAATGTGGTTTTTGCAACAATTGTGTCTATCTACTCTTTAACTCAAAATATCTTAATTGTAATGGAAAATTTGTGAATGTGAGATTTGAACGTATAGAAATAATACAAACATATGAAAAATTATTTGGAACTGTAATGAACATAGGACGACTAGCTGCTCTAGCCTTATTAAATTTGTTAAATAATTTGCTACACTCCTGGCATTTGATAGCTGTGCTTGAACGAAATTTCATTTCTATTTTACGGAGTATACATTTCCCAAAGCTATTTTCGGGTACAATGGATGGTGAAGGCGATGAACAACGTGATAATATCGAACACTTACCAGCGGAGGCTATGGACGAGGATGCTGGAGAACAAGTTATGGGTTTGGGCTACGAAGATGATGATGATGACGATGCTTACGAAGAGGAGGATGATGATAATGCTTCAATTGTGTCCACTGAAACTGAGTCTGATAACGTAGAAATGGATAGTGATGATGGATCTGAAAATAATTATGTGGCTGGCTATGGCGGTGACTATTCAACGAATTCGGAAAGTGACAGCGAAGTGCCTAGCACATGTTATACCAGTTCTAGATATCCTCAGTCAAATATACCTTTATATATATTTAAACCGCATCATTTAGTCAAATGCAGCTACAAAAGACATTGTCCACCAGGAGACTATCCCTTCGCACGTAGCGGTCATCGCGTAGTCGCTTCCGAATCGCATCTGTATTCCTTAGGTGGCTACAATTTAAGAAATAGTAGCACAACATTACATGGCACTGGCATGCTTTTTCAAGAGTTATGGCGCTATAATTTTACTACTAAACTCTGGGTGCTATTACACAATCCTGCAACAAATCGCAATATGCCTAGAGAATTAGCATCTAACGCGCTTATCATTACCAATAATTTATTGATTGTAAGTAAAATAAACAAATTATAAAAATTTTTTGCATATGTAAATACATACCTGTATGTTATGCTTTTCCCTTCTTTTCAGTCTTACGGCGGCACAGGCTATCCCTTTGGCGAATCATGTTCTAATGACTGCTATATATACCAAACACAGGTAGAAAATCCTAGTGTTTCGCGTATCGAAGCTACTGGTGATGCGCCTATACCACAATATGGTCCGGGTATCGTATTACACGAACATTATTTGTACACAATTGGTGGTACCACCGGCTATGACTACTCCTGTGATGTGCATCGTCTCAACTTACGCACGCGCGTATGGGAATGTGTGTATATTTGCCGTCCAGAGATACGCGAAGATCCTGAGGGCCGTTATCGTCATGAAGTTGTGTACGATGGCCATTACATTTATGTGCTAGGTGGTGGCACTTCAACTTTAGTCTATGATTTGCAGCGGATTCCAGCTTTTAATTTGAAAATGAAAAGATGGGATTACTTTGCAACATTACCCGATCGATCTTCCCAAGAAAATGCCACATTTTCCGGACAAGGTGCTGGTTATCCAAAGCCACGAAAGTGCTTTTCCTGTGTGCAACATACTAAATACAATGGTGAAGTTGAAGCTTTTATAACGGGTGGCCTACAGGTGCGTTTCTAATTTAAATAATAGCGTATAACGAGTATTTTTCAATTTAATTATTTATAGGGTGACCAAGTATATTTTTCTGACATATGGAGATTAAATTTTACAACTAAACAATGGACACTTATACAAACAGCACAATTGCCGAAACCATTGTATTTCCATGCTGCGGCGCATAGTCAAAACGGTTGCATGTACATATTCGGCGGTATTGAGTATGATATAAAGCACAGTCGTCGGTGCAATGACCTCTACAAAATGTGGATGACCATACCAAAACTAAGTGAAATTTGCTGGGAGGCAGTGCTGCACTATACACCAAATCTCAAAATGACGAGTTACACACAATTGCTCAAAATGGGTATACCATTAAGTTTTGCGCAGCGTATATGCCATTCTTCAGCAACCAATTGATTGTTTAATAATAATTGAAAGGAATTCGCAATAAAACTCGACGTTTGTTTAGCAGTGATATTTAATTAATTCATGTTCTCGCTTCATTTGAGCGCATTTGTGGGCCATACATATTTAATAACGTAATTATTATTGCAGTTGAAAAAAAATGCAAAAGGAAGCAATAAGGATAATAAAACTATAACGATCATGAGAGTAAAGCAAAATCCATATTGTATGTAATATGACGAAAAAACTCGTTATTATTTTTATATGTTCGTTAAGGAAAAGACAATGAAAATTAAGTATTTTAATACGTGTAGCTGTGGTTGAGAGTCAATTTCTCCTATCAATATTATATATAAAGAATTATGTATTTATTTTAATAATTTCCAATAGGGATGGTTAAGGGAAAATAAATTTATTCATTGTTGAAGCGATTTCAACCCTAGTCATAGTTCGAAGTAATGAAGTAGGAGATGTTAACAAAGCCGATTGATAAATCTTCAATTTGTAATGTGAACCAATTGGCCACAGCTACATCTATGTACATATGTACATAAAAATGTGTTATAATTCTTAAATTAAATTAACAACTATTTCGTTAAGAAGTCGTTTAGAGCCTATTTGGCATAATGCTAATAATTATAATTGAGCCCATAAGGATACACATGTAGCTAGATTTTCGAAATAAATAAATAAAGTATTTTATAATTACTAATACTGAAATGCATATTCAGCAGCTTAAAATCTGACAAAGAGTTAAATACTCATTATTAATAATTGCATTTCGAAGATTTTTGCTCGAACTTAAAGCTACGCCAAAAACTAAATCCTTTCTTTTTCTCGCCCCTGCAATGAAAAGTAAAAAAGAAAAGTTTAATTTTTTTGTTTAGATCTCCATACATCGCATACATATGGGCATATGTACATATGTATTTACATATAAAAATATGAATTGTTTCTATGGCTACTCTAGAGATTTGGACTTTTACTTTTAATGCGAGCATACTTATTATATTGACACTGATTTTTAAATAAAAATAAATATATAATTGCAATAAAAAAATTTAAGATAAACTTTCACTGAATTTTCAATGTTTTTATGTTTGTCACAAGATTGATGTGCATTTATTAATAGCAGTAGGTGTGCCTTTGTGAGTATATAATCCCAAAAAGCATTCATGGACTTACATGCACACATATGCATGTATAAATAAGTGGCTATATGTAAGTATTTGATCTTTCGCTCCATATCAACGCGGGAGATGGTTGGTGCATCGTTTTATTTTTTTTTTGTTTATAAATACAAAGTGTTTGTATGTTTGTACTCAATGCATACATACATATGTATGAATATATAAAAAATATAACTGAACAACAAATGCGTAGATTTTATGTGTAATTACTGCGTATTGTTTTGTTAGCAAAAGTCGGGGTGGAAAGGGCTACCATCTATAATATAAACGTAGATATGTATGTAATTATGCGGCAGAGCATCGCAATTCATCTCACTTTTGGTGGTGGCATCAGTCTTACATTGATACCATTGTTCATGGTGTTTGTTTTCGTTGTGTTGTATATCTGACGTAGCAACATGAATTTCTTCGTATTTATGTACATATGTATCTGCGTGTCGTATCTGCGCTGGCCTTTTAAAAAAAGCATACTGCGAAGTTAGTAAACAAATTCCATAAGCTAAATAATGTCGACCAATTACTAAAAAAAGGATAAATATAAAGAAAGCACTTACAAATGTATATTATTTTTTATAGAAATTAAATTTAATAGCGAAGAAGTCATTCAATAGATGAACAAACGAGATAAATTATTAAAAACAATATTATTGATATAAATTTTTAGTTATCACCAATATAAACAATTGTACAAGCAACCCCGGAATACATTTTCATAAAAGTGTAATTTTTTCTAAAATCTTCAATACAATAATTTTTCTTCTTTTAATATGCATATATATAACCTAAATTGAATTGGGAAATTATTAATTTATTTTTTTTGAGCTTCTTATTCGAAATGCAACACTGTGGAAGTGATAAGGTCATTGTGGATTCTATTGTACTTATCCCTCGATTTGTTTTTAGTTGTTGTTTCATCCACTATTTGCATTTTAATTTCTTCACAAATATTTTTGCAAGAATTTTTTTTCTATCAAAAATTTTTTAAATTCTAAGTGTAAATATCGTATTGAAAACATGTTAAAACCGAAAGCATTGACACAGGTGCTGGCACAAGCAAATACTGGTGGTGTGGAGAATACACTGTAAGTTAATTAAATGTTGGTAGTATAGCAACAACAACTAACTCCTGAAACATTGCTGCACATCTTGCCTATGGAATAATATTATTGGGAATACTCAGAATGATTTGATTTGATTGTTTAAATGTGTAGTAAATGTTTTATTATTTCGCTATAGATGAAATGAGATAGAATTTGGACTCTCGTTACAGCTTTAAACTATTAATTAATAATTAGCTGTAAAAACAATTTATTTCAAAAAATTGCATACTTTCAGTTTACTGAGCCAGGAAGGTGCCTTGCTTGCATATGCCGGTTATGGTGATAAGGACGCTCGTGTAACAGCGGCAATTGCTAGTAGCATTTGGGCTGCATATGAAAAGCATGGACGCAATGCATTCCGAGAAGATCGTCTTACATTTGTGCTATTGGATTGTGAATGCGGTCATGTGGCCATTACCCAGGTGAGAGGTGTTAAAAGCTTAATTCATGTATTTAACTATAATAGATATACCATGTAACCAGTTTCATATTTATGTATGTATTTATATTAACTTCCAGGTGGCGAGCATATTGCTTTGCTTATATGCAAAAGAAATGGTGGGTTTGGGCTTATTGAAACAGAAGGCAATGGCTTTGGCCAACTACTTGGAGGGCCCATTGAAACAGATTGCAGCCTCATAAAGTTTCCTTTTTATATAAACTGGAAAATTATAATTAAACCAAAAACAGTAAAATAAAATTATGTTAAGCTATCACCTAAAACTAAAGTGAGAAAGAAACAAACTTGCAATCTTTATGTATTTAATGAAATTTAATTGTAATTAGGATGTAATGGTATTGGCATACATATAGTTGTTTTTATAAACTGATTAAAATTATAAAATTTAAATATATAGTTTAAATTAAACTTATATGTATTTTGAATATTCCATGTCCATTTGTTTACGGAATTTTTATTCCATGAAAAAAGACTAAATTGATGTTATTGAAACAACTTCAAACTTTGTATGCAAATTGGATTTCTATGCGTGCTCTCATATGTAGTTATCCCTCCCAACGTTAACCAGTATATTTCACTAAATTGGATTTTATTCAACGGCATACAGTTTAAGGGTTCGATCCATGCTCGTCGAAGCCAGATATTGCGCATGCTTGCCGAATCGTACGCCTGTAGCCAAAGCCGTGTGGTCATTGAACACCTTCAAGTCCTGCCATTGCTTACATAGGTGAATCCTGAAAGGAAAAACGAATTATGTTAGTTTACATATAAAACTGGAAGATTGAGCTAAAATTGTTTCCTGTGTTGTCATAGAAATGTTAGCCATTTACTTTGTAGCTTAACGACGAGCTAAATACAAATGATTGATTTTCGGATAAAGAAATTTGGAGTGCTTTGCCGGAATGAAGAAAATTAAGAAAAAAATTTACCGCAAATATGAAGGTAAAATTTTTCTTGTTAAACAAAAAAAAATGTTACTTTTAAATTTCCGCAGACTTCTACACTGACGAGGATTTACGCGATCCAGACACATTTCCGCTTATAAATTTAACAATAAACGACTTTGATGCGGTATGCAACAATATCACTTTTTTTCAATATTAATTTTAATATATTTTTCCATAATTTTTGAATAATTTGCGCTATACATTAAAGAGAGGCGGTGTAGTAAATCCACGCGCGCCTTGTCTGGTTGCCACCGTCGACCCAAACTATGTAAAGGATGCACGCACACAACGCTTGGCAAGGAAATTTCGCATGAAAACGTTTGTGCAAAGAATGAAATATGAAATTACCAGTTAATTTGTGTCCATCTTTACAGTGACATCTTACTACTGCGTGAAATAACACGCAAGAAATTTATGATCTACTCCACCCAACAAATGTATTTGGATAAAGAGCGTGAGAAAAAGCATCAGGAAGATGAATATCAAGAGCTGTTAGATTTTTATGAAGTACGATTTACAAAATTTAACTAAAGTTCCCTATTAAATAAAATATATTTAGAATATAGAGACATCTTTGCAAACGGTGGAGTCGAATGGTTTCAATGAACTGAGAGCTTCTCTTGAAAAATGGCAAGAACTGCAAAAATGCACACTTCGCGATGAACTCAAAGCGGTTGTAGAGGATCATAGACGCGCCTTAGTCGAAGCGCATGAAGTTTATCAGCGTTTCTTGTACTTACTCAAATTAATTGTATAATTATAGTTATTTAAATAAGTATTTATGCACTATGTAGTGTTTATCTTGCAGGGATATTTTGATGAAATCGACGACGAAGCGGTTGGTGGTGAAAGTGGTAGACTTGTTTTACCGAAGGAGATAGCTGAACTTAAGCCACAAAACGATAGTGATGCAGGCATGAAACAAATTGAAGTGGTAAAAAAATACATGACAGCGGTAGTACGTCCTTATTTGGCTAAGAGGAATAATTTAATTGCCGATGTTTGGTTGAAGGTTAAGTCTGAGCTATTAAAAGTACGTTTATAGCACTAATAATGGTAATATTTGTAGGGATTTGAGTTGACCAGAAGTAAACTGACCAACTATTATAAGCGCTATACAAACTTGGCGCTCTTAAATCACATTGTGGCATTGGTCTATGAAAAATTTGTAGGTTAAAAACCACAAATAAATCAAGTCACTTAAACACAGTTAAATTTGATTTTTTCTTTCACAGCAAAAGACACAAGCGCGTTGCAAAATTCCACCAATGTTGAAAGATCCAAATTTCATGAAAGAACGTGCTGAAGCTCTGAAATTACAGGCGGAAAAGACTCTGGTCATATATGAAAATAGTCAAAAACAGGAGTAAGTCATTGCCAAAATATATGTATTGTTAGTGCACCATTATTTGATAACCGATTTTGAAAATAATTATCTACAAAATCTTTTTTATCAGCAAATTGTCATTAAAACTGAACGCTATAATACCCATAATATTGAAAAGTTTGCAACGCTCTGCTATAAAGGAGACCGATACCACTACTGAAGAGGTGAAGCTTAAAGCTGAACAGGATGCGGTAATAGAGGAAAATATAAGCTTGAAATCCCTTAAATCACGCAGCGAATCTGCTTTAAGCACTTGTCGAGATGAGCCAGATTCTACTTTGGGCAAAATCGAGCTTATACAGGCACATCTATTGGTAAAGTCGCTTTTTATATTATAGTCAACTTTTTAGAAATAAAAATCCATTGCTTTTCAAGTGGTTGCTCAACGAACTGGATGACATGCCACCGAATGTTTGCAAAGATATCGAGAAACGTGTTCGGCGACGTTTCAATATGGCCAAAGACAAGTCTCGACGCGCTTTGGTCGAGCAGACTCGTTTACAAAACTGGATGGCACATTTTAAGAAACATGAGTTGCAACGTCAAAAAGATACAGCTATTTGTGTGCGCAGAAAGATCACTCGTGAGAATAAATAAATAATGAATAAATTATTAATCAGCATAGGAATAATACTTACCTCACATCAGTACCAGCTATAGCTAAATATGTACCACTTTGGTCAAAGCACAGGTCCTTAACTTCATAACCATCCTCCAATTGTATTGTTTTGAAATTCTTCAATTTACGCAAATCCCACAACTTTACGCAAGCATCATCTGCTGCAGTAGCCAAATAATAACCGTTTTCCGAAAAACTAATCGCTGATATGGGACCAGTATGTCCAGGGAAATTTGCAACATTACTTTGCTCTTTCAAATCCCAAATTTTAACTTGTGAATCGTCTGTGCCAGTGCCGAAAATCAGACCGTCAGGATGGAATTGTGCTGTTGTTAAGCCAACCTCTGCAGTATCGATAACCTAGATATATAAGACAATAAAAAAAAATGTATTAATATGCAAAATTCTTGAAACCACAATTAAAACCTTAGTCAACAAACGTCCAGTACGTATATCAGAGAAAGCCCAATGTTTATCCGATGATGTACTTAGTATGTAATCGCCAGTTGGATGTAGAGATAAACCAGTCACCGGTCCGTCATGACAGCGTAGCAACAGTTGTGTCTGCGATGTTGGCACATTCCAAATACGTATAGTCATGTCTGGCGAGCCTGTGATTACAGTATCTTCATGCGGATGATAGATAACTTTGGTAATCTTCTTAGTATGCCCCTTAAGTATAGCTACAACCTGTTCTGTATCCTTATTGAATACAGTGGCATTCTTATCATTTCCGCCAGTTAAGATTTTACTATGATCAGCACTGTTAATATCTAATGCTAGAATACCCGGAATGGATGCCGAATGTAGACCAGGATGTGAAGCTACAGTCATAAATGTCTTAATTTGTTCTTGCGTAACCAATTCTTCTGGCACCGTGCGGCCACGCTTCTTGCGCTCCTGCGTCAATACGGTCGCTTTGTCTTGTAACTTTTGTATAACTTCAGCACTCATTCCAGCTTGCTCAATTGGTTGGCTAGCATTACCGGCCGCCTCAGCAGCAATGGCTGGTTGTGGTATTGCTGCCGGTGCCATATGGGTAACACCTGCTTGTGGTTTGAGGGTAGCCAAAGCCTCACGCGCTGCTGCTACTTCCTTATTTAAACGCGATATAACACGACATGCCGCATCGTGTTGATACAATGCATGTGATAACTCCTGCCGCGCCGTCTGCAGTTGTTGTCGTTGTGTGAATGAATGTAACATTAACGCATCCCATTCATCCTGCATAGTCTTCAATGTAGCTGGTATACTCGTGGCGCTTGGCGGTTTCGGTTTAACTATAGGCGGCGTTTTTACCTCAATTAATTCTTCAACTTTCAACTCTTTGCCGGTGATTGGATCGCAACCATTCTCCAGTATGTACTTTTCAATGATACGTTTCTCGAATATGGCGCCAGAGTGGGGCGAAATAACTGGTGTGTCTGGCACTTCATTTGTAACTGGAAAATCAATAAAGGTAGTTTTTAAATGCTAATTGAAAGCTAATTGCAAATAGTAGGAAGCGACAACGCTAACGCTGTGCACCCTAACCTAAAAGTCTTTTATTTATCCGGTTGCACTATTACTTACTTGCACACACCAAAGACATTGTTGTTAAATATTCTGTAGAGGCTTATGTTTTGAGCAAAAAGTTTATCAGCAAACGGTAGTAGTTTTAAATAAGAAAGTTATTATATTTGCAAATAAAAAACAATACGCTGCGTCCGAGCGGAATAGTCAACTTCTTAATGATGCCAGACAAAACGTTTGCATCTCTAAGTGTTGCCAATTATTTTATATTTCGAATTCTTAATTCTTAACCCCTTGTGTTGGAAGGGGACAATTTAACTTAATAATGTTAGATTCAATAAGTTTACTAATAGTTTTATTTATCAAATGCAAGTGAAAAATTTAAGCAAGAAAAACTAAGGAATATTAACAAAATTCAAGAAAATGTACGAATACTTGATGATTTATAGAAATTTGGATTATTTTAGGGAAAGCTTTTATTAATATTATTTCAATTATTTTTTTGATAAATTTTATTAAATGATAGAAATATAGACCGTCGATGATGATCCGCAGGAAGAAAAAGATGTAAGATTCTGGTCCATTCTGGCTGAAGTCCACCATCCGCCAACTTGTAGCACGCACTGCTACCCACCCGTCTGTAATAGTTAGGTTTGGTAAAGTACAATTTTTCTTGAAGAGAGTCACATAATCCAAGTCTAGTTCGGCATTGCTCCACTTTTACTATTTGAAGATCCATCAGCTTAACCTCACCAAGTATGATAAACCACTGTTTGCCGCGTATTGAATACTCATTGACTTGTTCGTTCGCAAAGTCTTTTAGCTTGACGATACAAAAACGTTTTTCATTCACGGTAGACTCGCAATCACAATTTTTTGGGTTTGTTGTTGTTTTAGAGGTTCGAAATTTGTCATTCCGTACAGGTCTCCAATATTTTTAATCCGAGAAGGTCTATACCGCCCATATAATGCAGCATCTATGTCACCTTCTATATGCCAACTGCAAGATTTATTCGATTTTATGAGATTCAGCCCTAAGGTGAGCAACATTGAGTAGCATTTCCTGTATTTTTTATCCGTTGTTGATGCAAGAGGGAAGCAGTCTTCAACAACAAGAAAATGAATTGCCTCTACGCCGCTATGTCTGAATTTGATATATCCGCAAAACTTACACGGATAGGGAATAGGCAACATCTGATGAGTCGGTGTAAAGAGATTTCGAGGTAAAGGCTTTGCGTAAGATTTATAGTCCTCTGCGAGTTGGGAACGGCGAATACAATAGTTTATACGGCGACATTGGCATATCTCAGCAAATCCAGCGACAGTGGCTACGCTGGTAAAGTCATGATTTCTGGTTGGATCAGAACACTCCAGCTTTGAAAGGAAAAGTCAGAGAAGATAAGTTTCTCCGAGCAAAACTGTCCTTAGTTTTGTAGAATTCGTTGACCTCTCCATGCCATTGAGGAGATTTTGCCACTAAAAATTCCTGCTAGTTTGTCGAAAACCCTGTTGTCTATTGATAATAGATCTATGTATTCTACCGAACATGGAATTAATAATAATAATAACTAGGAACTTTGTAGGCGCTGAAGCGATTTTCGGCAGAGCTCATCTTTCAATTTTTGTGTGTGCGTCTTGAATGGAGGAACCTACAGCTTCTTTCAAGCCGCCTCCGAACGGCTGATGGTTTTTATTTATGAGGAGCTTTTACTTCATATTGGAAATGTACTCGAAGGGGCGATTGCACTTAGATTGATTTTCTATAATTTCGCATGTTGGTCGAATGAGGTCTCGAACTCTGGCCTTCAGAAGGGCAGTACGGAATGTTAACCACTCTGCTATTACGGCTGTCGCATGGAATTCGCTAACTTGAAATGTTCTTTTCATTCTATACTTTAGGGTTCCACTAGGTTTAACTCCGAGTAGTTTTCGGTCTTTAACCTTCCATAAATTGTCGTATATTGGTACCTCGCAGAATTTTCGATAGTTCTTCTGTCAGTTAATCAGACAACTGTACAAGCTTTCCTCGCTGATCTTCCATTTTGCCGTCTTCGTGCTTCTGTCTTCACATCTCTTCAACTCGTGTGCATACAAATGAAAGAAATCGAAATTTTAATGAAAAAAAAAATTTAAATCAATATGAAATTATCGATGGCGAAGAGGAAGAACTGGTTTGCAATTTTTAAACGGACATACAAACTTATTATTTATGTACATATGTATGTATGTATAAAAAAACAGTATTTATTAATATGCAAGAGGTAGCAATAAATTTTAATTTAAAACTATGTTTAATAGAAATAAATTTTTTATCACATCTCTTATAGAAAAAATATATTTTTTTTATATTTTTAGTTATAATTAAGATAAATTATTGAGTTGAGATTTTAATTATTATAGTTTTTTGGTTGAATTAATGAATTCATTTTTAATATTTTACTAATTTAATTGCAAAATAAAAAAGGACGCAAAAATGTAATTTTTCGGGACTCAGAGTAGAAGAGTCGGCAAGGGTTGCCAAGTAACTTTTATAAAATATAAAATGACGAAAGGTGAACAAAGTAAGTACGAGGCTACATCAATTTTTTTTTTATTTTTTTTTTATTTATGTTTTTTTTTGTACCTACACTTTTAATTGGAACAAGTTCGAAAACACTCAAAGCGCTTACAAAGAAAGATTTGGCGTTTACAAACTCAAAAACCAGCTAAGCGACAAACCAGCGGTAAGTACACGCATACAAAAATATCATCATTAAATGTTATGCCCTGCAAGTAGTGGCGAAGCTTCCTTGCCTAGCAGATGACCTTGGGAATTTCCTGTTATGGTGTGCATGATGCATGATCCTCTGAAAACACCTAAAAATACGGTACTTTGGGTTCATGTAAACGGTCAGCAATGACGGCAGCGGCTAAGGATGTGAACGCAAACGAAAAACAAGTCTACCAAATACATATATGAACATATACAGGTGTACTACATATGTATTTATAGCTTAAACACAAGTAAGTATTTACGTATATACATATATTAAAATATTAGTTTGTATGGGTGATCGAATGGTTACGCTTACAATGGAGTCACTGAAGCTTCAACGGAATGCAGCGGCAACTGTCAGACACACTTGATTTATCGCTTGCCACAGGTTGCATATTGACGACCTGAGCGAAACTGGTTGCATGGTCAAAAAGTTGTATGCACATTTACTATATTTATATACATACATAAATATATATAAAGGGTGTTTTTTTAGACGTGTAGTTTTCAGTGAGGCAATGCTTTTTCAGAGTTGGAATTTTTGAAATCTGTTACTTCATTTATCTGTAATTCGTATAACCATGGATCGGTTTCTCACCACCTTTACACTAGCGGATAATGTGCTGCGCAGGAGCAGAGTATCGAAGAAGTCCCCGCTGAGTCTATCCGTCATCTCCAATCTACTTTACAGAAAATTTTGCTTAAGGATCAGGCTTGAGGGCTTACAAATTCTTACTTGTGCCTGAATTGAACGACGAACGACCATCAAACGACATGTCCACCGAACCCGATTTTCAAATGATAATTTTTTCAGCAATGGAGCTCCACTGTTGGTTGAAAGGGTAAGTTCAAAAGCAAAATTTTCGCGTTAGGAGTGACGACAATACACAAGGCATTCTTACATTACGCCATTACATCCTAAAAAAGTCACGGTTTGGTGTGCTCTTCGGGCAGACGGAATCCTTGCTCCAAATTTCTTAAAAGATGAAGACGTTCATAATGTTCTAGTAACAGGTAAATGCAATGGAGCCTTGATTAATAACTTTTTTCGTGGCTGAATTGAAGGATGTTGATGTGGAGGACCTTTGGTGCCAACAAGATGGCATATAGTCCATACACCCAGCGAAAAACTTTTGGCGAGCACGCAACCTCGCATCGTGGGCCTTTAAAAAGAATTTTCGGTAGGTTAATGGTGCCATACGGCCTCAACTGCTGTAATAAATATTGTAGTTAAGATTAAAAGATCCCCCCGGCTGGAATTTTTTCGAGCCAGCAGCGACGGTCCTTTGTAGGCAATAACTTTTAAATCGTAATGGCAATCTCTTATAGTTATATTGAAGCTTAATTCTTGGTCATACATTCAACAATAACGCGCTTTATTTCTTCTTGACAACCACAAGTCTAGAGAGGCACCCTTTACTTTAGAGTGGTCTTGTAAGTAGAGTGGCAGTAGCGAGGCGAATAATTGAAAGGTTCGTACAAAAAAAAAAAATTAGGAGCATCGGCGAAGCTTTTGTTGCAGCGGCAAATTAAATGCCAACATTTTTGACCTTCGTGCAATGCAACGAGTGAATGCATCTGCAAGAAGGAAAATTAAATGTATATACATATATGCACAAATACATATAAATATATGTATGTAATACAAAAAGAACGCTTCTTCTGCTTCTTTTCGATTTTTATTGTTGATTTAATGCTTTTGAATTCGCCACAAAGCCGGAGAACTATAATTGAAATGGCAAACTTAAATTGACATTAGCCGTGAGCACATAAGTATGCAAATATGTGTGTATGTGATTAGCCGCTATAAACAAATCAACTAACAAAGGCAACTAATCCAACAATAACTTTTCGCCAGGCATAACACTCGTCGTATTGATTGCGAGTCAAAGGTGAGTGCAAACAAACGAGTTGGGAGACGAATTTGCTGTCAGTTTGACAGATTTCTTTACGACAGCCATAAGTAGCAGCCAATAAGTGTCAATTTTATACAAAAAAAAAAAAAAAAAAAAAAAACTAAAACCAGAACTTTTATTAATTCTGCATAAAGCATCTGTAGCACCTTTGATGTTTTAGCGCTGAAAAAATATCAAAACAAATACACACAATGAAAAAATGAAAGAAACGAAAAATAAAATATGAAACACTCAACGCGCTCAAGGTCTCCCCAAACAAGCGAGCTGCGAGTTGAATGAGCACAAAAAACGAAAAAAAATCATGAAAGTTTGGTTACTTGTGCTTGTTTTCTTGTTTCCCCTGAATGTGGCAGCAAAAGAATGATTTATGATGCGCATATCTGCAAATGTGAGAACTGCAATTGGACGTTTGCGTATAAATGAAATGAAGAGCTACAAGCGAACTGTGTTCTCGCTTGAACATATTTACACACAGATGATGTAGCTTGAGGCAACCACATGTGTTGAACTTAAATTTCTCTATAATTTCCAAAAAACGCAGGCATAATTCGCAATTATTAGCAGCGGGTCACAAGCGAGG